GGGTTCTAACCCCTACTCCACCAGGAAGCTCACAGAGTGACCTGGGGCCACTGTCACTGTTAGAGAGGTTGAGATGAGGAGTGGGGAAACCAGTTGCCCATTTCTTTACTTTCGTTTGTCATTTGCCTTCCTTAACATAAGAACATAAGAGACGCCAATGTTGGATCAGGCCAAAGGCCCATCCAGTCCAACACTCTGTATCACACAGTGGCCAGAAATACCAGTGCCATCAGGAGGTCCACCAGTGGGGCCAGGACATTAGAAGCCCTCCCACTGCTGACCCCCACAAGCACCAAGAAGACAGAGCATCACTTGCCTCAGAGCCCCTATCTATACCTTGTGGCTAAGAGCCACCGATGGACCTCTGCTCCATACGCTTATCTGTCCCGCTCCGAGGGTCGGGGACCCCACAGACGACTGTCTACAGACCCCTGAGCCGCTGGGAGAAAGACAGCAACCCGGCTTACCAGGCAGAGCCCGTCGCGGAGAGCCGGAGAAGCCCCGTAGTCCGACAGAAGATGGAGGAGGCGCGGGGCCGCAGGAGGCACCCAGCCCCGGCCGAGCCCGATGACGAGACCGGGGCTCGCTGCGACGTCAGGGCAAGCGGGAGCAGGGCGGGGTGGCGCGAGAACCGAGGGCCCTCCTTGAGGGACGGGGCAGCAGGACGGCGGCGGTGGCGCGGCCCCGAGGCCGCCAAGGCCGCCGGCGGCGTACACACGCCCAACCAGGGAACGCCCCGACGGCATCGGTGCTTACAAAGGGGGGCGGGGCCCAGGTCACAGGGGCAGAGGGGCGATCCTGGGGACGGAGGGAATCAAATAAAAGGTGGGTACAAGAGAGGGCCAGTGAGGAAGAGCACGCGGAGGATGAGAGAGAGCGAAAGCAAGCAAAGGAGTGACAGGAGAGAGAGCGAGACGGTAACAGCGTGCAGGCAGAGGGACTTACAGGGTGCACTTAACCCCGTCCCCTGCCGGTCTGAGGCCCTTCTCTAACCCCTTTTTGCTGCAAGCTCTCTGGCCACCGGGACCACCCGTCTAGTCACCATTGGACGCCCCTTCCAGCGCTACGGCCACCGGGGGCGCCACTCCCCATACAAAGGGGGAACTCGACATATCTAATTCCCTTTTGAAGCCATCCATGCTTGTAGCCGCCACCACCTGTGGCAGTGAATTCCATGTGTTAATCACTCTTTGGGTGAAGAAGGACTTCCTTTTATCCGTTCTAACCCGACCGCTCAGCAATTTCATGGAGTGCCCACGAGTTCTTGTATTGTGAGAAAGGGAGAAAAGTACCTCTTTCTCTACCTGCTCTGTCCCATGCATAATCTTATAAACCTCAATCATGTCTCCCCTCAGTCGTCGTTTCTCCAAGCTAAAGAGCCCTAAGCGCTTTAACCTTTCCTCATAGGGAAAGTGAGACCTGAAGCAGGTAAATAGTACATGAAGAATAGTACAAGAAGGACCATAAAGGCAATAACAGCAAATGCTTCCGCTCTGTTCTCAGGCCTTGTTTCTCTGGGACGTGAGGGACTCCTCCCGGAAGACCCCCTTTCTCTGGCGCTCCCTGCCTTTCTGCCACCAAGACTGGATCTCCACCTGTGCCTGGGCAGGCCCCATGTTGGTGCGTTCGGGTGATCGTGTGGTCCATGTTGGTGGGCTCTCGTGCGGGGCAGAGGGGGAGAATTCCAGGAGCAGGGGAGGGACCACACAAGAACACATTTCACATTACCCTTTTTAAGCCATTTTAAAACCGTTACTGTACCGTCTTGGAGTAAACCGGTACAGGGCTGCCATTTCACACAGCCTTTCCCTTACTGGTAAGGAGCTGTCTCTGAAGCAGTTTGGCATTTCAGATTGCACTGCTTTGTTTTCCCGCCCTTTTTTGCCCACGCGGGTGATCTCCTTTTTTTGGGGGGGGGAACGTTCGTTTTAGAGCGCTATAACACAACATCAAAGCAGCACAATAGGAACCCCATTGGAATGCCTGGACTCCACTGGGATACATGAGATGGCTACATCTGCCACCTGGAAACAAGTACCCCATTGGATACAGGCTTCAAGTGGGAGATCAGGGCATCAGTGATTGGTGAGACAGATGTTGCTAACCCAGACTGATGTGCATCCATCCATGCCAAGAGACAATTGGCTGGGAAGTGACTGGCACAGAGCTGGATCAGGTATACCACTCGCCAACTTCAACCCACAAAGATAAGGGGTTTGCCTCCCTGCCCTTTATACTTGTTTCCAGGGGACAGATGTAGCCATCTCATATATCCCAGTGGAGTCCAGGCATTCCAGTGGGGTTGCTGTTGTGCTGCTTTGGTGTTGTGTTATAGCGCTATAGCTCTCTAAAACAAACATTAAAAAAAGAAAGGAGATCACCCGCGTGGGCAAAAAAGGGCGGGAAAACGCGCTTCACAAACGGTACAGAAAAGTGAAGACTGCTTGGAAGCAGTTTGTAGGTAAAATTGTTCAGAAGCGCTTCCCTAACAGGACAGAAGCGTTTTTGTCTGAAAGTGAAAATATATCCCGGTAGGGAACCATTACTAGAACGGTTCTGTCTGAAATGTCAGACCGGAAACCATTAGGGAACAGTTCCTGTACCAGAATATATAGGCTGTCTGAAATTCCCCAAGCTCACCGCCCTGACCAGTGGGTAGAATCGCCCACTTCCTTGCCCACCTGTCAGTTGGCGCGCCGGCCTGAGCACCGGGTGTCACAGCGGGAATTGCTCCTGGTGAGTCAAGCAAGCCGGACCCTTTCAAAATGCCTCCAGTGACTCTCCCGCTTCCTGCCCTTTTCCGGCCACCCTGCCTGTTGTTTTATGCAGCCGCTACGCCGGGGGTGTGGAACTCAGTGGGAAGTCGGATGGCTGAGCTGCTCAAAAGCACTGGTCCCTTGAGACTCCCCAAGGCGTCCCTGAGGTGGGTGGTGGGGGAGAGGGCCCTCTGCAGCCTCATTCTTAACTTCCTGTCCGGTTTTGCCACTCTCCAAACAGCTGTCTGGTTCCAACGACTGCACCGTTTGCCTCTGGGATCCCCAGACTGGCAAACGCCTCCGGGTGTTCCTGGGTCACCAGAGCCCCGTCTGCGGGGTTACAAGTGAGGTAAGGCGGCCCTCTGGGGGTTCCTCACGAGAGAAGGTGGAACTTTCATGCTTTCCTACCCCAGATTGGCCTTGGAGTCCTTTCCTCTTCCTGCAAATCTCTTGGGCTTGGGCACTTGGGCGGGTTCCAAAGCAAAGGTTTGGGAGGGGGAGAAGGTACTGAGACTCATTTCTGCATGTAGGTGGTGTGATTTGGATGGTTTGAAATGGCTTTTGAGTACCTTAAAGTTTTTTGGCTCTGAGAAATGCCATCACTTTCACTACATCCCGTAAACTCCTCCTAGCCTCTGCTGGCAGACTTCCCTGGCCTCTGCGCCCTGCCTTCTGTTAGGTCCCCCCGGACACTGTGAATCAGAGGCTCTCCCAGCTCCTTGAACCACAGATGGGTTTCTGGAACAAAACATCTCAATTGCTTGGTAGGCAGATTTTTGCAAAAGATCTTTAATCGGCACTGTTTTAGAGCACAGCTGTTTTAGAGCAGTTTTCTTTGGTGCCCAGGACATTCGGCGCGTGTTATGCTCATCGTCATCGCAAACATGCCTGTCCCTTGTCTCACTGTTACCGCAGAACGATCATGTGATCTCCGTGGATAGGGAAGGGATGCTGGTGGCGTGGGACCTCCGGGGAGTGGAGAAAACCCGGTTCCTGGCTCATCCGGGTCGGGCCAACCACTGTGCTGGCTTCAGGGATCCAAGTAAGAATAAATTGCTCAGGCTGCTTTGGAAATCTGGGAGGGGGAAATGGGCTCTGATACTGCTGCCCCCATCACTTGACCTTGTCGTGCAAATAAATCTCAGGGTGTGCTGATATTTGGATGTGTTCAGCTTAAGGTGTTCACATGGCTGATCAGCATAAAGATCCACTTGAACAACAGAAAAACCTCTTTAGTTTGCCAGCCACTGAGTTCAGGTCACGCACACAGCTTTTGCAAGACCTTAAATCTGAGCAATTTAACTTTATATACAGCATTTCTGTCCCAGCTTTTGGCCCAGTTAGGACCACCAGGGCAGCAGTTTAAGAAGACTTGAACCTGCAGCCCTACTGAGGATATGCTAAGGTGCTGGTCTCAGTTGCCATTGAGTTTGCAGTGCTTCGGTGGAATCAGCCTGCAGAGGTGCTGGGAGCTGCCTTGTAAAGTGCGCTTGTAGCTGTGCAAATGTTTGGAAACATTTACCTTAATTTTCAGTTTTTTCTAAACGCAAAAACTAAAAGGCCAGTGGCTGTCAAGTCACAAAATGCCCAATATATAATACCTGTTGCAGGTTACATTCATGGGCATGTTGAAAAGATGATCATATGTGCAATGCAAATCTGCAACAAAATATATGTACAGTGGTTAAGGGGACTAGAATCCAGGAAGCCGGAGTTCTACCATGGAAGCTTGGTGCTGGGCCAGTCACGCCCACTCATCCTAACCTGTCTCACAGGATGGTTGCTGTGAGGATAACGATGCACATTGCTTTGGGTCTCCATTGGGGAGAGGGCCAGGATACAAATGAAGTAAATAAAATTACCTAAAGCAAGGACGAGAAATCAGATTTTTGAAGTGCGGAGGAATTGCCTCTAAAGTGGGGATTGTCCGTGGGGCTAGTCTCCTCTGTCTCCCCTCTCCTGCTTTCTCCCAGTGTGAAATCTTCCTCATTCTCCTTTCAGCAGGGGAAAAAGCATTTATGTTGGCTGCTGCTGGCTCTGATGGGACCGTGAACCTTTGGAAGCCCCTGGTGGTAAGGGGGTGGGGGCTGGTGCTGCGTTCCTCTTGTGGCTCGTTGTCGGGCACATCCCTGTTTAGACCGGGTTTTTTTGTCTCGTTTTCCTTTGAAGCTGCTATTACCATTGCCGAAAAACACTTTCAAAATTGAGGGGAGGGGACAGAGCTGCAATTGAATTTTAAAAAATACTTAATTCACCTGCTGAGAGAAACCCTATGTATTTCAAACTATGCGTATTCTCTCTGGGGGTAAATCTTTGTAAATCTCCCCCCCCCCCCTGAACAAAACCATGAGGATGGCATCCCTTGCACAGGTTAGCTGAAGCAGAATTATGTTTCATTTCGTAACTTAAGAAGAGATGCAAACCCCTTCAGTTAAAGAAGCACACCGATAGGGGTACAGCCTAGCCAAACTTAAATTCCTTTCTATCCCATTGGTTTCAGATTTGTGTAGCTGCTGCACTCTGCTGCTGAAGTTAACGGGACTGAAAAGAGCTTAGCTTTTGGCTGGATCTTTTGGATCTGTTCCATTAGCAGAAATGTTTTAATCCGACAATTGCTGGAAGCAGAGTAGGGAAGGATGTATGCTTGTTTTCTCAGAGCAGGTGTACTACCGTTCCCATAAAGGGACCCTGTTCTCACCCCCTGCATAACAGATATTATTTTTTCTCCTTGTCGGCTGTGTGGAGCCATTAAAGTGCTGGACAAGACAAGAGTAGCAACGATGCCTTTCCTTAGCTGGTTTTCCCCCTCGCCTTGCCCCAAACCCAGAGATATGCAGGTGCATCACGGTGTCACCCTCTTCTTCCGATTGACAGATGGAGCAACCCCAAGTCTTTTCTGGGCACTCGGCTGCTGTTTGCGGTGCTGCTGCTGTTTCTCCCACGTCTTCCTCTTTCCTGACGATAGCTAAAGACAAAACAGCCCGGCTGTGGGCCCTTCAGAAGAGAGATGGTTAGTACCTGTGTCGCTTACACAAAATCCCCTTCTGAATTCACAAGAATGCCAAAAGCTCGGCTTCCCTAGCAGATGGTCCCAGGTTCAATTGCTGGCATCTCCACTCCAATTTAAAAGGATCTCGGGTGGCAGGGCCCGGGGAAGTTCCCTGCATGAGACTGGAGCCGCTGCCAATCAGTGTTCCCTCTAAGCGGAGTTAGTGTGAGCTAGTTCACAGCTTTTTAGCCTCCGGCTCTCACTTTTTTGCCTTCGCTCAGGAAGGATGGCTCCAGGGCAGACTTAATTTATGCAGGCGCCAAATCGCTCGCTCACAACTTTAATGCAAGTGGCTCACAAAGTAGAATTTTTGTTCACAAGACTCCACAGCTTAGAGGAGCACTGCTGCCAATCAAAGAAGACACTGGGGTGGATGACCTAAAGGGCAGGCTGGGTTAGAATCCTCGTCACATGATCAAATGTGAGCAGATGGGGGGGGGACAACTAGGGGGCATGTAGGTGGTCCAAGAAGGGCACTAGGGGGTGTGTAGGGGGACCGAGGGACACCGGAATCTTAGACAATCTTCTGCTGGAACATACAGCTTGGCTTCTGTAGTTGAATTATCTGGAGGGATTCTGCAGTATTTGCTTACAGTCAATTAGGCTTGGTTCTGCTTAATCTTCTTCGTGGTCTCTGTGCTTCACACCAATGGGGATCTAGTGCGCCTGCGCTGGATCTGCCGGTGCTGTAACAAGCTCTTTTTAACGGATTTTCGCACCCAGTCCCTCCGGGCATGCGCAGGAGCCCCACTGCGCATGTCCAGGGTCTGGTCGGATCGCTGTTTTCGTTGCTTTTTAGCGATTGGCTTTTGTTTTTTTCTCTCAGTTTCACTTCAGTTTTCTTTCCTCTCGTCATTTAAAAAAGGAGGGGGAGTTTTGTTTTTTCGTCGTCTGAGGTAAATTTACCTCAGGCTTTCGGGCCATTGCCCCCCCCCCCTCTTCCCGGTCAGACTTTTAACGTCTCTCAGTCTATGGAGAAAACGACTGGAAAGAAGAAAAAGTGGGGATTTTTTAATCGTTGCAGAGGCTGCGGGAGTAAATTGGCTCCTCCGGACGGTCATAAGTACTGTATTTTCTTCCTGGGGGAATCCCACAATCCAGACTCCTGCGAACATTGTACCACAGAATAGTCTCCCTTCCGTTTTTTAAAATAAGAGTTTCCTCTTCATACGGTGGTGTATACCATGCCATAGAACCTGGCTCTCTTCTCTTCAGGGGAATAGTTGGTAGTCGAGACTGTTGTATCGGCGCGTCTGTCTGCCGTTGGCAGTTAGGCCCGTCAGCCATTGGTAATGGTGCTTGCCTGTAGACTGTTTCGGCCCTCTGGCTCTGGCACCAGGCAACTTGTTAAACGAATAAAGCAGGTGTTTCGAGTCAGGGAACTTGGGATTCCCCACCCACCCGCCCTCCATTAGCCACACACTGCAGTCTATTAGGTCCCACCCTCTTTAGTCTTCTAAAATTCCCTAGGCTCTGCCCCTCGCCCATCCCAGGCTCTGTCCACAGGCCATGTGCTTTTAAAATCACACACGGATAAACTTGACAGTTGCTCGATCCCCGGCAGGTGATGTCAAAGTCCTCCCGCAGCCTTGTGGGGTCATCAGAGCCGTGGCCTGGTCCCCAACGGGGGAGTTTGCTGTGTCCGGTGGGGAACGGGGAGAGCTGACGCTGTGGCAGGAAGGCAAGGTGGTGGCAACAGCAAAGGTAACTGGTGCGCCAGGCGAGGGCGGTAGTGAGTGCTCCCTCTGGTGTGTGAATGGAAGAGAAGCAGGCTGCAGGGAGCAGGTGGGACGACACCCCCGATGCCTGCCAACAGATGAGCACAGTTTGGTATCTGAGCAAGGGTTGAGTCCCAGTGGCACCTGAAAGGCCAACAAGATCTCCAGGGCGTAAGCTTTTGAGAGTCAGAGCTCCAGGAGCTTTGGAAATCTTGTTGGTCTTCTAAAGTGCTGCTGGACTTTAAATCTTATCTTGTACTGCAAACCAACACACCTGTTATCTGTGTTAATCCCAAAGCAAAAGTCCAAAACCAAAAATCCACTGGAAATAACCTCTTCCAGGATCAGTCAGTCAAAATGCGACAATGTGCAGCCCTTGGGGAAGGGGGGGGGGCAGTAGAAAGCGAAGATGAAATGGTACCGGGTGGAGGAGCTCTCAGGTTATGTACCTCTGGAGCAAAACACAAAAATGGAAGCATCTGTAAAAAGTCGCAGTTGATCGGATAAACTCAGTTGCTCTCCTCGAGTGTCCCTGGGCTGAGTGATACACTGAGTGAGGCAGTGCTTTGTCCAGGATTCTGTTCTCTCCACCTTCCAGGTTGGCTCTTGCTGCATCACCGCCTTGGCCTTCACCTCCTCCCACACGGTCCTTGTAGCCGCCGGTGGAATCAGCCTCTGGAACATAAACCCCAGTGGATGCGGAGACGGGACAGTTGGGTAAGGCCAGGCAGAGCAGCCCCCGCGTCCTGGTAGTCACCCTTTCTCGGACTTAGGGAAAGCGGGAGTCTGAGGGATCCAGTTCCCACCCCTGAAGGCTTCGATTCCCTCAGCCCTAGAACCTGCTTTGGCGTGAGAGAGCTGAGCCTCGGGAGAAAAGAGATAAGTGAGGAAAGAGTCTCTCTTTGCAGAGCTCCTCATGGCCATCCACCGGGGTGGGTGTTATGTACGCGGACCGCCACTAGGAGTCCATGGCACAGTCAGGAGCTTAGCTCCCCTGAACAATAGGAACAGTGGATCCTAGTTCCCCCAGCACCAACCAATAGCCACTTTGGTGGGACATTCAAACCCTCCAATGGGACTAGGGGTGTGCTGGGTGGGTGTGTATATAGTTGGCCTTGCAGGGCCGTTTTGCAGTTTTGTGTGAAGTACAATAAACGTGTGCAAGAGCATGTCGTTGTCCGAGTTCTCCATGCGGCGAACGCAGTACTTTTCAGTGGGGACGTTCTTCTCTGGACAGTGATCATTCATGGAACTTAGATGTTTTCTGCACAAACGGGTCTCCCCGCTCCTGCGTCTGTGTTCCTCTGCTGCTGTCTCTCGTTTCTGCAGAGGTATTGGCAGTCCGAGGAGCAAAAACAGAGTGTTTTTTTAAAGTAAGTAAAATTTATTGTGCAGTCATTAGCCATTACAATTTAAAACAATGTACAAATTAGACAACTTACAGCACTGGAATTTGAGTTAGATTTAAATTATAACAACCTCTGAAAAGCTGCACACTCAGTATTTAAATTAATTACAATCTTAAATATAGATGCCCATCTCCAGAAACACATACACACCCTCAAACATTGCTGTTTTACAGTTAAATTTCCCGCCCGTGCCCTTCATCTGGATCTGACTATTGCTTCAGTCTGGAAATCCAGCTCTCCCCCTTTGGTGGAAACATGGTTTAAAAAAAATTGGGATCAATTTATTTTAGAAAAACTCACACAAGTCAGCCAGAACACTATAGCGGATACATCTAAGGCTTATGAACGGTTGTTTGGTCAAGGGTCCTGCATTTTATGGCAGAGAAAAACATCCCTGCTAAAGCCTCTTATGTTCCTTGGGTCCAATTTCAGCTTCTTGTCTGCTTCATAATAGGGCTTAACACAAATATTGGCAGAGCTCCCTTGGCTCTTTTCAAGATCAATCATCATTCTGCCACCCATAAGGACTGTTGTTGTTCAGTCGCACAGTCGATTCCGACTCTTCGCGACCCCATGGACCAGCTCCCGCCAGGCCCTCCTGTCTTCCGCTGTCCTCTGAAGTTTGCTCAATTTCATATTCGTTGCGTCGATGACACTGTCCAACCATCTCATCCTTTGCCGTCCCCGTCTTCTTTGACCTTCAATCTTTCCCAGCATCAGGGTCTTCTCCAGTGAGTGCTCCCTTCTCATTTGGTGGCCAAAGTATTTGAGCTTCAGTTTCATTATCTGGCCTTCCAGGGAACAGTCAGGGTTGATTTCTTTTAGGATTGACTGATTTGATCTTCTTGCAGTCCAAGGGACTCTCAAGAGTCTTCTCCAGCACCATAGTTCAAAAGAATCTATTCTTCGACGCTCGGCCTTCCTTATAGTCCAACTCTCGCAGCCATACATGACTACTGGGAATACCATTGCTTTGACCATGCGGACTTTTGTTGGCAGGGTGATGTCTCTGCTTTTTATCATGCTGTTTAGGTTCGCCATCGCTTTCCTCCCAAGGAGCAGGCGTCTTTTAATTTCATGGCTGGTGTCACAGTCTGCGGTGATCTGGGATCCCAGGAACGTGAAGTCTGTCACCACTTCCACAACATCCCCTTCTATTTGCCAAGGAGTGATGGGGCCGGATGCCATGATCTTAGTTTTTTTGATGTTTAGCTTCAAGCCCACTTTTGCGCTCTCCTCTTTTACCCTGAGCATGAGGCTCTTTAGGTCCTCTTCACTTTCTGCCATTAGAGTGGTATCGTCTGCATATCTGAGGTTGTTGATCTTTTCCCCAGCAATCTTAATGCCCGCTCGTGATTCATC